CTCGCGAGCCGCATGCGGCTCTTTTGATGTCAAGATGCGGCTCTTTAGCTCCATGCACACATATTAAAAATTATTTTAATTTATTTTTAAAACTCATAAAAATATTAATCTGCAATGCTCGGCAATTAAAGATAGAGATCTAATAACAAAGTAAAGTTTCTAATTTCGAGCAGAGCTTGCTAAACTACTTTAATATGTTTTGTGCGAAACATGTGTATGTTTTTATATGAATAAATATTATTTTATATTTTAATATTTTAAGCTATTTATTTAAAATGTAATGTATATATATATATATATATATATATATATATATATATATATATATATATATAAATATATATATATATATATAGGCCTATACCTAATCAAGTATCATAATATTGAAATAAAAATGTTTGTGGCTCTTTAAAAACTGTGAAATGTGGTAAATTGTAACTTTTGGCTCTTCCGCCACAAAAGGTTGCCGACCCCTGGTTTAGTACATAATATATAAATTGATAAGAATGTTAACACCCAATGCCATTATGCTGCCAATGAAATAATTATTTTTTAATGAAATCGTTGGTCACTAATTGGGATACACAGTGCTTTGAACACAAGTGGTTTAGCCTTTGTTCTTTTGAGTTTGGATTTCGCCAACAGAAATGCTTTTTTTACTTTGCTTTTGTAGTGAAATAATGCTTATTTTAATTTCGTTTAACTATATATCAATATTGTGTAAAGTATATACGTAATTATTTTTAAAAAGTTAAAGCATTTGATATGATTTAAAATACACACATTTACATGCAGTAAATTTTTAAATTAAAGTATATTTTTAAAATATATTGTATTTTAAATGTTATTTTTACTTATGTATTTTTAGTTATCATTATCTAGAATAAAAACAATGAGTTGTATAAAAAGATAATGTACATACTTGCGAGAAGTAACATTTATCATCATTTAATAGGCTGTTTGCGTCTCAAAGACTGCAATTGAAATAATTAAACAACGGAATACACTTTAATGTCATGTCGTTGAAACTGTATTTTAGACTTTATAGTACTTAAAAAAACAACTAAAAAAATCAAATGCAAACGAAAAGGAAGCAATTAATTTTTTTAGAGGTTTCTACAAACTTTACTTTGTTTCGATAACATTACAAAAGTTAACTTTGAGAGATGTAACTTGTACCTTTAACGAATCTTTCAAGACTTAGTATAAAGTCATAACTGTCTTCAGGAAATGTTTTGAACCAAGCAGCAAATCTCTCACACAAGTAACCAGCCTCTAGACCACCTAGATTGTAAATGTGATCTAATTACAATTTATTCAAAAAACATGGTCTGGGAAATATCAATACTCATAATACAATTTCAAGTGACACTTTTTATGTGTGGGTAAGATAGAGGCTTTGTTGATTATTTTTTTTTTACTACTAGGGATGAACTCGTGAACATAATATGGGTATGTGACCACGTAGGAAAAAAACATTGATTTTCAACCAAAACAAATATTTCTGAACCTACCTGAAACATAAACGTACAAACTAGTGCTACGACCACAACATGTATTCTTTAGGTTACGATTCAATGAACGCGTGAGAAGTCATTTATAAAACATGGATTAGTTAAAAGCATAAAACAATTACCGCTAAATAAGGCCAACGATTTCCTGCTATTATGGTGGTACGATAGGGCTCCCGGTCAAAACCCCCCCGAAATAAACCCCCTGGACACGGGGTATATGTCGGGTTTTTTTTTGACCGGACACCGTACGATAGTGGTAACAGACATGCGCAATAATAAAATAATATGTATTTAATTATATAGATTAATGACTGAAAGCAATCGATTTAATGAGTAAACTAAAGACAATTACGTTTGATTCGTTTAACGCTAACCAAGCGCCACAACCATTTTACAATACAAAATCAATATTACTATTAACAAACTACATACCAGATGTGTTTTACTAAGGTCAAAAGCACATATATAAGCTGTCAGTGTATTAAACGTAACTCATCTTGACAAGTCAATGTATATATATATATATATATATATATATATATATATATATATATATATATATATATATATATATATATATATATATATATATCCATATAAAATTAAACTTTAAATTAATTGGAGGGGAATAGTCTAGCATATGTCTCTATGTGGTCTAAACTATGATAAAGTCTTCATTCATTTTCTTTACCTAACTAATTATAAACGGTGTTGTCCTATACACTCCAGTTTATGAAACCATCTGACGTTTTCTTAGAAACACTATTCAAACTAAGAATTGACAATACATGTATCTGATCTCTTCTACATAAAATTTGATAAAGATGTCTTAATCAGCTTATATAATCTTTGTGATAATGCTGACTAGGTTAATCCACAACACATACAGTGTTATTAATTTGAGCTACACTCACAACTCAACACACTAGTGACAATGTTACCTAAAGTTGTAAGATTTACACAGTTTTGACAATGTTTAGCACAATGTTGCTATAAGTGTCTCATTCTATACAGACGTTATAAAGTTACACTAAACTCTCAGCACTATTTACACACTAAATTTGAGAATGTTGCATAAACGTTACATCGTTACAAAATATAGTAATGCTGCTCTAAGCTTTTTTACCTACGAAATATACATCCATATCAACTTGCAATATAATTTGTGTTGTTTAAAACGGAGGTGCCTCACAAAATTGACATGTATTTTATTACTTCCCTTATACAAATTAATGGTATCAAGGGATACAACTTAAACATATCAACAAAACTATGTATTAAAATAATTATCATTTACATAATATAAGATGGTATAATTGTATTAACATGAAAATGAAAACTTTAAAATTTTTCTTAGCAAGATTGAAAAAGTATTTTTTTTGTTTCTAAAATCAATTTTTTAAGTAAAAATTAATAAAAATCAAATACCTTAGGTATGTTACAAATTATTTCTTAGAGGTTTAATATTTTATGTCTAGCAATGTTGGAAAGTCAATTGAAAATTGTGTTATTATTCTTTTACGAGAAAAATGGCCTTTTGAAACAAACACGTGAATTTAAGAATACAAACGAAATAATTCTGATCTGTAAGGTTCCTACAAGTCCTCATCTCCATGCACTAGAAATGGACTATGCAACTATCACGAAAGTCAACAATGGGGTTGCTCCCATTTTTGTTCCCTCTAGGTCGAGAGATCCGGAGAGGAGCCACCCGGACTACGGTTAGGGTGGCTTAATGAAAACTTGGGCCCAAACTCTTTCAGTTTCAGATATCAAGACAACAATCACAATCGACCAGTCTGATGAAATAGCTCCTGAGCTCTTCGACTCGCCTACAGTAATTCAAGTCACCATAAAATCAACCAACCACCAGAACATCCCTGGTCACCTCTTGCGCAATATCATTAGCCCACACCAGATCCTGCTGCTCAACTATGGACGAGGGGATACCTGGTACTTCTCGTCCAACGAGTTTGATGTAGCGGATCTGGACGGCACCACAAAAACACACGGCCCATACACTTTGAAATTCGACAGATACCACAAGGACAAAATCATCGGAACCCTTAGATGGGTCCCGCCAGCCCTGAGCAACGAAACACTGATTAAGGCACTGCAAACAGTCAGCAAATGTACACCTACAATAACCACAATCCCACACAGAAACAATCGCAGATTCACCATCCAGAACGACAATCCACAACACATCCCATACTACATCCAAATTACATACAAAGACACAACACGTAATATCCTCATCGCACTGCCAGAAAGACGCCAAGCCTGTCAGGTGTGCGGCTCGGACAGACACTGGACCAACCACTGCCAATCATCAACACCAGAGTCAACACCCAATGTTCACCTGTCAACAATACAGGAACCAACTCAACAACCATCCTCACAGACAATTTTAACAGAACCACCTAGAGCACCACCCACACCGCAGCAAACATTGGTAACCCCTAACCTGTCGAACCAAAAAGCGATCCCAAGTACGGCCTACCCGAAGTCACCAACTGCATCAACAAAAATCCAAAACACTGGAGAAACACAAAGACCAGATTCAGAAATAGATAACACCACGTCAATGAAAAGAAAAAAATGAAATCAGCCCACAGAACAAGGAAAATTAACAAAAAAACTCGCGAATCAAATCTTCGATCGCCTGACAAACACCTTAGAAACCCAGCCGCAACAAGAAACTACCACTGAACCAATTCAAATTCCCAAACCTTTAACTCCTGGAAAAGACAAGAGCTGCGGTTATTGCTTTCACAGTTTCAGTACTGCCAGCGAGTGTAAAACACATACAAAAACTTCCCATCCTGATACGAGTAAATGTCCGCATTGCAACAATCTGATCAAAAGCAGAGGAGCAATAAAGCACCACGTACTAAAACACCCAGACACCGCTGTCTTCCAGTGTGGATACTGCCTAACAAGTCTATACACCAAATACGACATAGAAAAACACCTCAACGACCAGCACCCCGACAACGACCCCTGCCACAATCAAATATTCTACATCCTCAACCCAGACAGATACATTTCTTACATGTATGCAGACGACAGAACATAAACAGCGAGAAGGACAACTCTTCAAATATGACACGCTGTACCCACCACTTAAACGAGTTTCGTCAATCCCTCCTCATCCGGGTTCCAACACTATTATTTTACTTTAACCCCTTTTACTGATTATCCCTTAAAATTTTGTATAACAACATATATAAAACAAATATGATAACCATGTACATAATTATTATTAATACGCTCATCCGGACAAAATGGTTTCATTAGATGATAAAATTTAGTAAAAAAGGTGTATACATTTGTAAATTCATCTTGATATGTTTTTTTTAAGAACATTTAGAAAAATGTAAAATATGCTGATGTTGTTGCACTTGTTTTAAATTGCAAATAAAAGTTAAAAAAAAAAAAAAAAAAAAAAAAAAAAAAAAAAAAAAAAAAAAAAGATATATTTAAATCGCTTCTCGGCCTTTTGGCTAAGATCAAAGTGTAGTATCTGTTATGGATCTACACGGATCTTAGCCATTTGGTTGGTCAGCCCTTTTTAGGGCTGGCTGCCGGGGTCGAGAGGCGATCAAATCTACTACTCCAACTCACGCAAATCTCGCCAACAACCGCTGTGGGGTTGCTCCCACACATCCCTCGAAGCGCACATGCCCTCGAGATGAGTCACCCAGTACTTGTATTGGGTGGCTTCAATATACGAGCGGCTAATTTTCAACCCTTTTTTTTCAGACTGACGACACTCATCTAGGAGAAATCTTAGGTGGGAGGTCTGTCAAATCGCCAACAAATCAAACTCATCTACTACGTCAAACGCAACTACCTCGCTCAACAAATCGAACTCATCTACTACGTCAAACGCAACTACCTCGCTCAACAAATCGAACTCATCTACTACGTCAAACGCAACTACCTCGCTCCCAACAAACTCACTACCACTCTGACGACACCTACCTAGGAGAAATCTTAGGTGGGAGGCTTCCGTCAAACACTAGCAAATCAACTAACCATCCCTCAAGATCAACTACTCAACTTACCTAAAATAAACAATCGCCAACAGCTTTACTTCGCCCACTTCAAACACTTCACCAAGCTCAAAACCATCGACTCAGCAACATCAGCAAACTTCACTCTTCAACGTCACCTCGCCCAACTCAATTACTCGACTACGTCACAACTTTACTCCTCTTCAAACCACAATGAACAATACTTCAAAGCACTATCTATTCTGTTATGTCTTCAGTAAACTTTTTTTTTGCGTTTGATTTATACTACGCAACTCTATTTTAGTAAACGGGGACTATTTATAATGTTGACGACATAAAGCAGCATAAAGACAAACGCTAGACTATTCCCCACCAACTCCTTTAAAGTTAAATTGTATATGGATACTTGTAATTGACTTATCTAGAAGAGTTACGTTCATTATAATGACAGCTTCTATATTTGCTTTTGACAATTGTAGACTATATCTACTATATAGTTTTATAATAGTAAAATTGATTGGCATGTAACATGGTAGTTGCGTTTCATACACGTTAAACTAATTAAAGTTAATTTGCTTTAGTTTACTTTTTTATCTTTTATTTATATATTCAAATAAATATCATTTTATTATTGCACATTTATGTTAACACTATCGTACTACCACAATAGCAGGGCATTGTCTTTATTTAACTGCAATGTTTGTATAATTTCAACTAATCCAGGTTTTTGTAAATAAGTGATTTCTCACAAGTTCCTTGAAGCGTAACCTCAAATATATATGTTGTGGTCGTAGACTAGTTTGAACGTATGTTTCTGGTGAGTTTAGAAATATTTGGAAGTCAAACGATTAATGTAGCCAATGTTATTTTCCTATGTGGTCACATACCCATGTTATGTTCATATCTAGTAGAAGAAATAACCAACCAATAATTATTATTGCGGCTGCTAATGTACCTGAGTATAGAAAACTGAACTTCATGTCCATATTACTCTATCAGAAGACTAAAATTATTATTACGTTAACAACATTTTCTTCCCCGTTCAGCAAAGCGTCACTTGGAATTTTACTGTGAGTGTTGACATTTTCCAGACCACTTTTGTTTGAATGAATTGTAATTAGACCACATGTCCAATCCATAATAATTGTATTATTTTATTTTATCAAAACTAAAAATATATTACACGGTAAAAGCAAAAACAACTTTAAACAAAATAAAAAACAAACAATGAGAATAGGTGGAGTAGAGTAGCAGTAGAGTGTACATGGACAGCTGAGAGCCGCTACAGCTGTCGTCGATTTTGTCTATATAAATTCCCAGGAGAAAATGTTTTGAATACAACCAGATTTAATGTCATTGGATTGCAATAAAATCACAACTTTTCAAAAACATGTTGCCCTATATTCTGTATTTTTGTGTTCAAACACAATGTAACAATGTTGCCCTGTGCTTGTAAACCTACATAAAATGTTTTGTTTTTAGGCTAGTGTTTTCAAATTGAGGTATGAAAAACAATGTAACATTGAGCTAGTTACTTCCCATGTATACAATACATGACGCTAAGGGAAGGTACTTTAAATTGGAATAAAAAGTATTAACAAGTACTAAAAACATATTTTATGTTCAAAATTTATGAAAAAAAGCATTGGATAAAATGATATTTTAACATGTAAAAGTAATGTTATAGTAATCTTGTACATGTAATACTTTGAAAAGTATATCTGTATGCTTCTATTACAGTGCAAACAATGGAAATGTATTTTTTTAAATGTGTACATAAGTAATTTTTTCAGTGTTAGCAGTGTTTGCTATTGTGTTTTCTTCCAAATGTTTAATTTATTTTTGCAATATCATATTTAAAAAAACAAATAATAATAAAATTAAAAAAAAACATCTAGCCTGAAAAAAAAAAACATCAGACATTCCATACTCCATTAAATTTATTTACAATGTATAAACGGCCATCATTAGCGGAAAAAATGTTTTCATAAAAAAACGTTTTAATAACAAGCTTTTATTAGACATGTAGCTCTGTTGTAAATAAAAATATGTAAAGTACTAAAATGTTTTCATAAAAAACGTTTTAATAACAAGCTTTTATGTAATAATGCACTAAAAAGTAGAAAATAAATTATAAAGAAAAGAGTTGGTCACTTTAATATATATTGGATACCTTTACTAATATTTAGGAAGAGACCCACGCTTTTCTTTATAGTAATTTAAATAGCATTGTCTAATATTTAGGAAGAGACCCACTCTTTTTACAAGCTTTTATTACACTCACTTCCTCTGTCTGTCTGTCTATCTGTCTAGATCGAAACACCCGTGTGAAATTGCAGGCACTTGTAACTGACAGGTAAACGTTCGTAATTGGTACGTGGGTCAAGACATGAAGACAATGCATCATGACATTCAATTTGACTTAATTCGTCGCCTGATTATTTTTTTTTTAATTAATTAATTAATATTTTGACCAAATTTGTAGGCAGTTCTATCCACACGCGTCAGACTGACGACAGAGGAAAAGAGTTAAATACAAGCTTCTAAAAAAAGCATGCCAACACTGCTCATCTACACAAACTGGAATAACCAATGCATCTAACCACACATCAACTAACCTCAACAGGTACATACGAAAATACATTTATTATAACTAATGTATTTGTTTATTTAAAACTGCAATAAGCTTATCCATTATCTAAGCTTATTGAACTGATAAAATTTGACGTACATTGACAAAGTTGAAGTTGTACAAAAATATTTACTATCTATCCTTACTAGGGTAAAGTCTTATCATAATGTGATACTGTCCTACCATAACTATGCTTCTGTCCTCTTACCTACGCAAATATCATATCCTAAATAGCCTACTGTCGTACCCTAAATATTCTACTGCCGAACCCTAACTACGTCCATGTATATTTTCTAAACATCTAGACATGTTGTCCCCACATTGTAGGATACAACATTCGGACAAGTGGCTTTCGTGAAGAAGTCCCATCAGAAAAATCATGATCGTTAGTTGTGTGTCAGGTAGGTTACTTCCCATTACTGCTTGTTAAATATACAAGGGATACAACCGTTAACAAAAGTTTACAACATTCTATACAGTTCAAGCAAGTTGAAACATATACAATTTAATTATGTCGATTAAACACAAAACTAAAGTGTTTAATAATTAATAAACATTTTATATTGTACATCCAGTCGAGACAAACCAAAGCACCTTACAACTAGACAACTCCCACTCCATGGTCGACATAATTACATTCACCATCATCTACTTGCTCTCCAAATCCATTATGACGCAAAAATAGTTTTAACATCTTCGATAGCAACATGTAATAACACCATGCAATAACAACATACAATATTATACAATATTGGAAGTGATTCCCCTCCAAAACAATTAAGGATACGTGTCAACTGGTTATGCGCCATTTAGGACATTGATTCCGACTTCAGCCTGCTTTTCTTTTTGGATTTGATTCCATTGCCTTTGTCCAAACAAGAACAAACTACAAGGCAGCAGCTGTTTGTTTTTGGAGTCGTCTCTCCTAGAAGAGTGGCTGTCCCCAGCTAACGAGCCTCATCTGCCCCATGGTTCGAACTCGAGATTTTTCGGTTTAGCAACCATGAGCTTTGCCGACTCGACCACGCCGACCCCCTTGAAATGCTTTTTCCATCTTAGCCAAAACGTATACAGAAAAATACAGGACTCTTGTCTTCAACAACGTTCCCAAATTGAAAGCGAATCAGCTCTCAAGCTCAGAATGCTACCTGTGTTAGCTTTTGTGGCCATGAACACATTAGTTATGTCTTTAATAAATTATCGGACATTTTCCCCCTTGAAGCAATGCCGCTTGCAGACTGTTTCAAGGACTACTATATTGGCAGACCACAACGTAGACGTCGGAGACAACCTATTTCCATTTGATATGTGGTACATGTACACACGTGCTGAAGACCATATGCCAAAGTCAAACAACTCATTTGAAAGCTGGTACAGAAGTTTCCAGTCCAATATGTGATGTTGCCACCCAAGAGGTTTATTGTACACAGATAAATTCAGGTCACTGTTTACCAAAACAAAACAAAAAATATATTGATAGCAGCGCTGAAATTTCAACAGTTGTTAAAAATGTAAATGAGCCCGCCATTATAGAGTAGGCCTATTTGCGAGACATCGCTCACAATCTGTCTTTTTAAAGCTATAATAAAACCCTTTTTTTTCTAATGTATGTTTTGTTTTTAATTATTAATTTTGGTTCTCATCATCTATGGCTTTTCCTTATATAAACATCAATTTGGGGGTTTCTGTCCGGGGGGTTTATATCGCTGGGGGATTTTGTCCAGGGGTTCATATCGCGGAGGGTTTGTGTCCAAGGGGTTTATGCCGGGGTTTTTTGTCCAGGGGGCTTATGACCGGACACCACTTTCCAGTGACATTGACATATGTTTTAGGCAGTCCATTCCATATGGAGACCATCTTGGAAACATCACATTGTTGGGTGACTACAATGTAGAATAGACAGTAAACTGTGATTCTGTTCATTGAAGCTTAAACTAAACCAATCGTCTGCATTTGACTCAATGCTTTTATATCGTTTTGTTTTAACAACACGGATGTTTTGACCTCGAAAGTGTGTTCGAAGTATCTTAGCTCTAT